ATTAAACTTTGTTTGATTTCAACAAAAATTGAATATATGGGGTTCTTTGATATGCTGAATCTAACCATGTATTTAGATTTTTGATTTTTGGGCCCCGTTATCAACTTTGTCCACATTGAGATCAAAAGGGTCCAAAATTAAACTTTGTTTGATTTCATCAAAAATTGAATTCTTGGGGTTCTTTGATATGCTGAATCTAACCATGTATTTAGATTTTGGATATTGGACCATAATAGGTGAATGTCCAATTTAAAATTTTTAAGTTCTTAGACGACATTCATTCTGTGTCAGAAACCTATGCTGTGTCAAATATTTAATCACAATCCAAATTCAGAGCTGTATCAAGCTTGAATGTTGTGTCCATACTTGCCCCAACTGTTCAGGGTTCGACCTCTGCGGTCGTATCAAGCTGCGCCCTGCGGAGCATTTTATTACAATTGAGACAATTTAAAAGCAGTGTAAGGGAGGTAATCCAAATCAATTAAAAGAACACTGTTTGATTACCTCCCTTACACTGCTTGTTAATTATGTATTAAGAAATGATGATTGTCTTGAGGTGATTAGCTGTCAATTTATTTTGAGAAGTTACTATTAATTAATATTAATTTTAGCCATGACTATGTATGTCATTTTATATTTTAAAACTTTTATGATGTATTTAAATGGGTAATTATGGTTGCAAACTCCATTAGAAATTTGAATTGAGATACTAACCATATCTTGAGGGAAATATTTTTTTGGGGGGAATAAGGGAAAGGGGGGAGGTGAAAAAATTTGGAGGGGGGGGGGGCAATTTTTCTCATTTCAGATTTCAGAAATTAAAAGAAAATTTCTTCAAATATTTTTTTGGGGGGTTAATATTCAACAGCATAGTGTATTGCACAAAAGCAAAAAATTGAATATAAATTCAAATCATATAACCAATTTGAAGTTCTTTGACTACAGTTATTCTGTGTCAGAAACCTATTATGTGTCAAAAATTTAGTTATTATCCAAATTCAGACCTGTATCAAACGTGAATATTGTGTTCATTTTGGCCCCAACTTTTCAGGGTTGGACATCTGCGGACGTATCCAGCTGCGCTCAGCAAAGCAATTTATTTTAAGGTATTTTTAAAGTTCAGCATATCTGTGAATCATTGCTTATTGTTCTTTAATTAAAGTCTAAAAGGTCTTTCAAGGTCTAATGGTAATAAATTTTGTATGTGTAAATATTAAATTCATTAGAGTTATATTATGTCTTCCAGTGTTATCCAGATTTTTCTCTGAGGTATTTTCAAAGTTCAGCATGTCTGTGATTTAACAACAAGCGTTAGGGAAATAAAGTTTACAGAAAGATGGTAGTATGGCATTTAGGGTATAATACAAAGATATATATTCTTTCAGATATACTGTCTTAGGGTATGATCATACTAATCACTGTAGAAAAACAAGAAATACAAAAATCTATACAAACTACTGTTTTATTTTTAAATCAAATACAAAACATGAAAAACTCTTGCATTGACAATAATTCAAAACAAAATATTTGTCAAAATGTAGGCAATACTGATTTGTTGATAGAACTTGTATTTTAATGTTAAACAAGAATGTATATGGTGACCTATAATTTCTTACATGCACATCATTTGAACTCTGGTAGTTGTGTCATCAGCATTCATACCACATCTCCTTATTTTTATAATGTGAGCCAGACATATGTTAATGTTATTTAAGACCCATGAACAAGTTATGCTAGTGTCATTTGATAATTGGAAACACACCTGCATTAGTAAAATGAGACTTCCCTGACATCAATTTGTAAGAATTTGCCAAATTTCACTTATTTCTTCCTTTTGAGTTGAAGTTTGTGACGCAAACTACTTCATGATACTGGAACAAAATGTCAAACTGGTGAACTTGGTTGGATATTGGATTTCAACCTTTAGATGTTATATTAAAATGTCTGCCAGTATTAACAAATCGAAAGAAAGGAAGTAATAAGAAGTTCTTTCAGATTTTGGCTTCATCTCTAGCTATACAATAAACTTTTAACATATTCTGGTTCAATTTATATGTGTATTGTTTGCATTTACTTATCGGAATTCAAAGTTTGCACATCATAAAATTTCCTGGGAAGAATCCAGATTCCTGTCATCTTAGTTAAATGCATTTTTTACTCCCAGTTACTTTAAAATCTTTGTACATTTCTGCAAAATTGAATAATTTTTTTAGAATTTTTTTTTTAGAATTTTTTATGTACAATTCTGCAAAAAGGAATAAGTTTGTACTGGTCCACAAAAGTGTTGATTTGCAATTTCATGGGGTTGCAATTACACGACATTAAGTAATAATGCTTTAGTGATGCTGAAACTTCTTCTAATTTTGCTGGGTAAGGTCAAAAGAAATGGAAATATTTTTGTATATGCAATTACACAATCATCTGTGTATGTCATTTTCATGCAGATGATGAATTACATCCTGGACACCTTGACAGTCACATTCTATTGAATTTGAAGTAATTAAATTGTTCCTTGCTAATCTGATATCATAAAGGTATTGAATTAATGTGCATTCAATTTGTCATTCTCATATTCAGAGGTTTCTTTAGTTAACTAGTAAGAGGATGCATATTATGTTATAAATAATGTCTTTTCAGAGTATTACAGTACTGTAGGCATTTCTGTATCTTCCATGACTGGATTTTAGTGAAACATTCACCTTTTTCAGAGAATCTTTTGTACCTAATGGCATAATACAGTGCTTCTACTTTATTTTTTTATACAAATAAATTTTGGGTTTTCCCATAGCAAAGTGGATTCTGTTTTAATTTATTGAATGAATATTTATTTAATGTTTTCTTACATGAAGGGGAGGAGTGGTGGTATGTAATTGTGAGGTCTGCTCATATTATCCCTCCTACAATCTCTGTTATGACAATCTTTAGATAACAGTTTTCTTAGAGGTCTTGATACCAACTTTGAACAGGCCCCTTGGACATAACCTCTCTTGTAATTAGCATTGTTGGTTCTGATTCATTGATATCGATTTACCCCCATGGTATCTATATTCATGACCACAATGTTTATAGATTATTTCAACCTGATGCAAAGTCAGATGTGGTAATTATGAAGAGAAAACTATTGGTGTGAAAATAAACAGTCAGTCTGGGACTAATCTATTGATCCCAGAGTCGGCCAAAAAAACAAGAAAGAGTCATCAGAACTTTTTTTGGATTTGAGCGTCACTGATGAGTCTTTTGTAGACGAAAACGCACGTCTGATGTAGGTACAAAATTTAAATCCTGGTATCCATGATGAGTTTATTTACAACCACTGGGTCGATGCCACTGCTGGTGGAGTTTTTATTCCCCGAGGGTATCACCAGCCCAGTAGTCAGCACTTCTGTGCTGACATGAATTATCATTGATATGGTAATATTTATAAATTAACTGTTTACAAAACTTTGAATTTTTGAAATACTAAGGCTTTTCTACCTCAGGAATAGATTGCCTTGGCTGTATTTGGCAAAACTTTTAGGAATTTTGGTCCTCAATGCTCTTCAACTTCGTACTTCATTTGGCCTTTGAAACTTTTTTGGATTCGAGAGTCACTGATGAGTCTTTTGTAGACGAAACACGCCTCTGGCGTAGGTACAAAATTTAAATTCTGGTCTATGATGAGTTTACCTAAAATAACAGTTGATTTTTATACGCCCGTTTACGGGACGTATTATGGTATACCGTTGTCCGTCTGTCCGTCTGTCCGTCCGTCCGTCTGTCCGTCCGTCGTCAACATGTCGGACATTAACTCAAAAACGCTTTAACCAATTTGCAAAAAACTTTGGTGAATTGTTTATATCTATTGACATGAGCTCCCTTTCGTTTTTTTAAATTTTAGATTTTACGTTTCCGAGTTATGGGGTTTTATTCATTAAAAAAAGGGGATTTTCCAGTTTTCGGACAATAACTCAAGAATGCTTTCACCAACTTGCAAGAAATTGTGGTGAATTGTTTATATCTATTGACATGAGCTCCCTTTCGATTTTTATATATTTTAGATTTTATGTTTCCGAGTTACAGGGTTTTATTCATAAAAAAAGGGGGATTTTCCAGTTTTCGGACAAAAAATCAAAAATGCTTTCAGCAGTTCCTATGAAACTTTGGTGAACTGTTTATATCTATTGATGTAAGCTCCGTATAGAATTTTATAAATTTTACATTTTACATTTCTGAGTTATGGGGTTTTATTCATTAAAAAAGGGGGGATTTTCCAGTTTTCGGACAATAACTCAAAAATTCTCATGAAACTTTGGTGAATTGTTTATATCTATTGATGTAAGCTCCCTTTACATTTTCATAAATTTCTAATATGACATTGAGAATTAATTGAACTTTATTTGTTTATAGTCTGACAACAGATTTACTAAGTATTGCGCAACAGCACAGTGTATTGCACAACAGCAAGTAATCTTTAATTGAATATAAATTCCATTCATATAACCAGTTTCAAGTTCTTTGACTACATTTATTCAGAAACCTATAATATGTCAAATATTTAATTACAATCCAAATTCAGACCTGTATCAAGCTTGAATATTGTGTCCATTTTTGCCCCAACTGTTCAGGGTTGGACCTCTGCGGGCGTATCCAGCTGCGCTCAGCGAAGCAGTTTATTTCTTGAAGAAATGTTTTTGATTAATGAGTCTAGTTAATACATTGATAAATTTGAAGTCAAATTTGATTTCATGGACTGTTTTTTAAATGAATATCTTGGATGAGATCCTAGATTAAAGGGTTTTGTTAAATGTTTTTTTAGGAAAATCTTTGTTTTTTGTTGTTGAAAAAGGTGGTTTTGCGAGTTGATTATGATGAACCCATATGTCTATGAACTTGGGAACTACTGTTACTCAAAATAGAAATTGAACCAAAAAATCAGTTATATTGTTTACTTTTGGCATAAATCTACTATAGAAATACAGGATATTTATACTTTGTAGTTTGAAAATTGCATATAATTTCAGGGTCAGGAACTTGCAATGAGTTTAGCAAAGTCTGGAATAGAAACAACAGTCATCAATGATGCTGCTGTATTTGCTATTATGTCAAGAGTAAACAAAGTTATCATTGGAACACATACTGTAATGGCAAATGGAGGGTAAGTATTACAGCAGACTTAAAAAAAAATGTTTAGAATATGTATACTGTAAAAAATGTAAATTTTTTTTCCAGATTTCAATGCATAATCTTTAAGCACAGGGGTTAAATTTTCAACCATAAATTTGTACTTCATATCATAAATTTTGCTGTCAGAAAACTATTTGACCAGGTATGTTTTTTCATGCATTTGACGTGAGAGCAAAATATGGGAAAATGTCCATGTTTACAGTATATTTTCTATCATGAAATGCCTATTGATTTTAATATCATGTTTTGAAAAAAAATGCTTTTTAAGCATTTAGGAGAAACAGAATTAAAACAATCAGTGTTACCTTTTGGATTATAATACCTTAATGAAAATGGCTGACATAAACATAACAGTGACTTTTAAGAGTTATGTCCATTAACCTAGGTCTACCTCCTTAAACTCCTGGTGTACAAAAGTTAAGTTACATGTACATACACATCTGTGAATACAATGTATGCAGAGTAAATATCTTTAAATTTAACCTTAACACATACAATTTAATCATATTTAAAAAGAAATGTATTTTCTAGACTAAAGGCAATTAATGGAAGTCATGCAATAGCTTTAGCAGCAAAACATTACTCTGTACCGGTAAGTTTGATAAGTTAATCAGTTCATTTATGTAAGAATGTTGTCTTAAGTCGGAACTGTTTTCCAAAACAACAAGACAGGGAAAATATTTATTTTTATACGACCGCAAAAAAATTTTGTGGTCGTATATTGGTATGAAGTTGGCGTCGTCGTCGTCGTCGTCCGGCGTCGTCGTCCGAAGACACATTGGTTTTCGCACTCTAACTTTAGTTTAAGTGAATGGATCTTTTTGAAATTTGACCATAAGGTTAAATACCACAAAAGGAAGGTTGGGATTGATTTTGGGGGTTATGGTACCAACAGTTTAGGAATTAGGGGCCAAAAAGGGGCCAAAAATAAGCATTTTCTAGTTTCCAGACAATAACTGTGGAACGGTGTATGGATCTCTCTGAAATTATACTACAAGTTTCCATACCACCAAGGATGGTTAGGATTTGCTTTGGGGGGTTATGGCTCAAACCGTTTAGGAATTAGGGGCAAAAAAGGGGGAACAACAAGGTTGTCCTGGTTAATGGACAAATACTTTAGTACAAAACATAATTTAAAGCAGTGTAAGGGAGATAAATCAAATACATCATTGAAATTATCTCCCTTACACTGCTTTTAAATTATGTATAAAGTAATGGTTAATGAACAATAAAGATAATTTAAAACAGTGTAAGGGAGGTAATCCAAATACAACGTTTTGGTTACTTCCCTTACACTGCTTTTAAATTATGTTTAAAGAAATGCATATTTATAAAGGAAGACCAGTAAAAATATCTGCAAATGTTGCATCTTTTTTTTTTACAAAAAAATCCATATGAAAGATTTGACACTATATTTTTATACGACCGCAAAAAAATTTTGTGGTCGTATATTGGTATGACGTTGTCGTCGTCGTCGTCGTCGTCGTTGTCGTCGTCGTCCGGCGTCGTCGTCCGAAAACACAATGGTTTTCGCACTCTTACTTTAGTTTAAGTGAATGGATCTCTATGAAATTTTACCATAAGGTTCAATACCACAATAGGAAGGTGGGGATTGATTTTGGGGGTTATGGTACCAACAGTTAAATAATTAGGGGCCAAAAAGGGGCCGAAAATAAGCATTTTTGTAACTTCCAGACATAACTTGTGTGTTATTGTATGGATCTCTTTGACATTGTACTACAAGATTCCATATCACAAAGGGTCGATGATGGGATTGATTTTGGGGTTAATTTCCTCGAAATTTTAGGAATAAGGGGCCAAAAGGGGGCAAAAAACAAGCATTTTTCTAGTTTCATGGCAATAACTTGTGTGTTAGTGTATGGATCTTTCTGAAATTTTACTACAAGGTTCCATTTTGCAAAGGGAAAGCTGGAATTGAGTTTTGTGGTAATTGCCCAAAACGTTTAGTAATAAGGGGCCTAAAAAGGGGTGAAAAATAAGCATTTTTTAGTTTCTAGACAATAACTTGTGTTCAAGTGTATGGATCTCTCTAAAATTGTATTATAAGGTACCATACCACAAAGGCAAGGCTGTAATTGAACTTGGTTTTGGGGGGAAGGGGGGGTGATGAATCATAGGGGGGGGGGGGGGTCAAAAAAGGGGTAATTATTTTTTTTCGTTTAAGGAATAAGGGGAAAAAAGGTTAAAAAACTAGGGTTTCCATTTTAATAGACAAATAATTGAGTAAAGAACATTATTTAAAAGCAGTGTAAGGTTGGTAATTCAAACTCATTTAAATATCTCACCTGCACTATGTTTGAATTATGTAAATTGGAAATTTGCCAATTATTTTAGTATAATAAACTTCATTGGAAATTTGCCAATATAAAATTTTGCTGATGAAGGTTTTTTGTTTACCTTTAGTCTGACTATGATGTCATTTTCTATTTTAATAGCCTTATGATGTAGTTAAATTTTTTTTAATACTTTTATGATGTATTTTAATGCGCTTTTATGGTTGCAAATTTATTGTTTTAATATAATAAACTCCATTGGAAATTTACCAATAGTTTGTTTATTTTTAGCTATGACTATGATGTCATTTTCTATTTAATTTTAAGGTTACAAATTAATTTCAGTTTTAAATATTATTGTAAAATGTTTGCCCAAAACATTTATTAATAAGTGGCCAAAAAAGGGGGCAAAAATAAGCATTTTTTTAGTTTCCAGACATTAACTTGTGTTCAAGTGTATGGATTTCTCTGAAATTGTACTTAAAGGTACCATACCACAAAGGGAAGTGGGTCAAACAATTTTGGGGGGGGGGATTTTTTTTCCTTGTTTTTTTCTTTAAAATTTTCCATTTTAAGTTGGTTAATTCTGATCACAAAGAGAAAGTTGGAATTGAGTTTGGGGGATAATTGCTCAAATGTTTAGGAATAAGGGGCTAAAAAAGGGGTTAAAAATAAGCATTTTTTTTTAGTTTCCAACAATTAATTGTGTTTAAGTAATTGGATCTCTGTGAAATTGTACTGCAAGGTACCATACCACAAACTGAAGGCTGGGATTGAGTTTTGGGGGGGGTGGGGGGCGTGATGTGTGAAAATTTTCCACTTAAAGTTGGTTAATTATTTCTGATTTAGATATAAAAGCAAATAATAATGATGTGGTTTGATTTTATCAAAAACTTAAATTGAAGTTATGTATATTGTAAATTTAGGTTACATTGGAATTTAAGAATTGGCTTTGGGGTAGGGTTATGGCTCAAACCTTTAAATAATAAGGGAAAAAAAGGTGAAAAAACAAGGGTTTCCAGGTTAATAGACAAATAAGTACAAACATTATTTAAAAGCAGTGTAAGGTTGGTAATTCAAACTCATTTAAATATCTCACTTACACTGCTTTTAAATTATGTAAATTGGAAATTTGCCAATAACTTTATTGTTAATAAATGCATTGGAAATTTGCCAACAATTTTAGTATAATAAACTTCATTGGAAATTTGCCAATATAAAATTTTGCTGATGAAGGTTTTTTGTTTACCTTTAGCCTTGACTATGAAGTCATTTTCTATTTTTATAGCCTTATGATGTAGTTGAATTATTTAATACTTTTATGATGTGTTTAAATGGGGTTTTATGGTTGCAAATTTATTGTTTTAGTTTAATAAACTCCATTTAAAATTTGGTAATAAAAAAAATTTTTGTTTATTTTTAGCTATGATTATGATGTCATTTTCTATTTTACTTTTATGGTTGCAAAGAAATTTTTATTTTTAGATATTACTGTTAAATGATGCTGATTAAGGTTTTTGCTATGTTTAGCCATGACTATGATGTCATTTTCTATTTTAATATCTGTCATGATGTATTTAAATGGGCTTTTATGGTTACAAAGGAATTTTATTTTTAGATATTACTGTAAAATGTTGCTGATTAAGGATTTTGTTTATTTTTAGCCATGACTATGATGTCATTTTCTATTTTAATACCTTTATTATGTAATTTCCATTTTTAGATATTACTGTTAAATGATGCTGATTGAGGGTTTGAATGCTGGGATTGATTTTGGGGGTAATTGCCTCCAAATTTTAGGAATTAGGGGGCAAAAAACAAGCATTTTTCTAGTTTCATGACAATAACTTGTGTGTAAGTGTATGGATATTTATGAAATTGTACTACAAGGTTCCATATCACAAAGGGAAAGCTGGAATTGAGTTTGGGGGTACTTGCCCAAAACGTTTAGGAATAAGGGGCCAAAAATAAGCATTTTTCTAGTTTCCAGACAATAACTTGTGTTCAAGTGTATGGATCTCTCTGAAATTGTACTGCAAGGTACCATACCACAAAGGGAAGGCTGGGATTGTTTTTGGGGGTAATTGTCTCAAAATGTTAGGAATTAGGGGCCATAAAGGGGCAAAAAAACAAGCATTTTTCTAGTTTCATGACAATAACTTGTGTGTAAGTGTATGGATCTTTATGACATTGTACTGCAAGGTTCCATATCACAAAGGGAAAGCTTGGTTTGAGTGTGGGGGTAATTGCCCTAAACTTTTAGGAATTTGGGGCCAAAAAGGTGCAAAAAACCCAAGCATTTTTCTAGTTTCCAGACAATAATTTGTGTTCAAGTGTATGGATCTCTCTGAAATTGTACTGCAAGGTACCATACCACAAAGGGAAGGCTGGGATTGAGTTTGGGGGTGATGAATCATAAGGGGGTTTCAAAAAATTTGGGGGGGGGGGGGATTTTTTTTCCCTTTTTTTTCTTTAAAATTTTCCATTTTAAATTGGTTATTTCTGATTTATATATAAAAGCAAATAATAATGATATGGTTTGAATAGGTAAATTAAAAAATTTTAAGTTCTTAGACTACTTTCATTCTGTGTGAGAAACCTATGCTGTGTCAAATATTTAATTACAATCCAAATTCAGTGCTGTATCAAGCTTGAATGTTGTGTCCATACTTGCCCCAACTGTTCAGGGTTCGACCTCTGCGGTCGTATCAAGCTGCGCCCCAGCGGAGCATTTTATTAATTCTATTATAAAATAGATTAAGTTAGCACTATGGTAAATTTAAATGGGTAATTATGGTTGCCAACTCCATTGGAAATTTAAATTGAGATTATGGCCATATCTTGAGGGAAAGAATTTTTTGGGGGAAAAAAGGGGGGGGGATAAAAAGAAATTGTGGGGGGTCAATTTTTTTTCATTTCAGATTTCAGAAATTAAAAAGAATTATTCTTCAAATATTATTTTTTTTTCAAATTTCAAATATTGAAAAATTTCAAGAAGTAATCTTTAATTGCACAGTATGGCGCATTAGATTTGTAAAATCTTTGATCACATTTATTTATTTGTTATGCCGAATCTTACAGTGTATTTAGATTTTTAATTTTGGGTCCAGTTTTCAAATTGGTCTACATTAAGGTCCAAAGGGTCCAAAATTAAACTTTGTTTGATTTTAGCAAAAATTGAATATATGAGGTTCTTTGATATGCTGAATCTAAACGTGTATTTAGATTTTTGATTTTTGGCCCAGTTTTCAAGTTGGTCCAAATTGGGGTCCAAAATTAAACTTTGTTTGATTTCAACAAAAATTGAATATATGGGGTTCTTTGATATGCTGAATCTAACCATGTATTTAGATTTTTTATTTGTGGACCCTGTTATCAAATTGGTTCATATTGAGGTCAAAAGGGTCCAAAATTTAACTTTGTTTGATTTCATCTTAAATTGAATTATTGGGGTTCTTTGATATTCCAAATCTAACCGTGTATTTAGATTTTTAATTTTGGGTCCTGTTTTTTAAATTGGTCTACATTAAGGTCCAAAGGGTCCAAAATTAAACTTAGTTTGATTTTAACAAAAATTGAATTCTTGGGGTTCTTTGATATGCTGAATCTAAACATGTGTTTAGATTTTTGATTATGGGCCCAGTTTTCAAGTTGGTCCAAGTTGGGGTCCAAAATTAAACTTTTTTTGATTTCAACAAAAATTGAATATATGGGGTTCTTTGATATGCTGAATCTAACCATGAATTTAGATTTTTTATTTGTGGGCCCCGCTATCAAATTGGTTCATATTGAGGTCAAAAGGGTCCAAAATTAAACTTTGTTTGATTTCATCAAAAATTGAATTATTGGGGTTCTTTGATATTCCAAATCTAACCGAGTATTTAGATTTTTATTTTTAAGTCCCGTTTTTTAAATTGGTCTACATTAAGGTCCAAAGGGTCCAAAATTAAACTTAGTTTGATTATAGCAAAAATTGAATATATGAGGTTCTTTGATATGCTGAATCTAAACGTGTGTTTAGATTTTTGATTATGGGCCCAGTTTTCAAGTTTGTCCAAGTTGGGGTCCAAAATTAAACTTTGTTTGATTTTAACAAAAATTGAATATATGGGGTTCTTTGATATGCGGAATCTAACCATGTATTTTGATTTTGGACATTGGACCATAATAGGTATATTAAAAAAATTCAAGTTCTTAGACCACATTCTTTCTGTGTCAGAAACCTATGCTGTGTCAAATATTTAATAACAATCCAAATTCAGAGCTGTATCAAGCTTGAATGTTGTGTCCATACTTGCCCCAACTGTTCAGGGTTCGACCTCTGCGGTCGTATCAAGCTGCACCCAGCGAAGCATTTTATTTAAATACGGAATGGGAATATAATGCAACATTACAGTTAAGAGAACAAACACCATTGGCATATTACCAATGTATCTGTCAAATTTGTTTATGAAACTATATAGGATTTTGTTTTTAGACTTTAGAATAAATTCCCAAGGAAGCCAATTAAGAACAATTTTGTAACTTGTGTACACTGCTAATATAATTTAGAGCATATGTGGATATATATGTCAACCAGACAGTAACCTTACAACAATGAACCCAACAGGCTTTTAGAGGTTAACATATAGAATTTGTAAACATTTATTCAACACTAAAAAAAATGGTTTTCAGGCATTGAGTTAATTGTGTGCTTTATAAAACATTCATGTGTTTGCTTGTGCATGGAGAACATCTTCCCTAATATCAATTGCCCCAGTTTCTCTCCTTATTCAACATTTGTTTTTATTTTCAGCTTATTGTATGTGCAGCTATGTTTAAGTTATCACCACAGTTTTTATGCTCCTATGATCAGGTAATTTTAGTCTTATTTTAATTTAAACACTATTTTATCAATGAATATTAAACAATCAACATGAACACAATAGTACCATATTTGAAATATAAGACTGGTTGATAGGTTTATAAAACAAGTTCAAATCTGTAATTCAAATTTATGCTAATATGTGGTCACATTTATGTGTTGTTATTTTTAACTTTTTGGTAATTTTTAGTACTATTTTATTTTAATCAGGTATATTGTAGGGTTTTGCAATTAGGAATATAAAAATAAGGAGATGTGGTATGATTTCCAATGAGATAACTATCCATAGAGACCCAAAATTCCAAAAGGTAATACTACTAAATGTTTATTCTTTGTGTAAAGTTTTAGATGTATAAAGCAAATACAACTATGAGCAGTAATGTTGTCCTGGTTATTATAATCCTGTGTTATTAAGCAGAATAACTGTGTTTTTATATTTCTTTATACAGGATGCCTTTAACAAGTTTGTTAGTCCACAAGATGTGTTGAACTTTTCTGAAGGCGAAATCTTGTCAAAAGTTCAAGTTCATAACCCAGTGTTTGACTATGTACCACCAGAGTTAGTTACACTTTTTGTATCTAATATGTAAGTATTGAATCATTCATTGTATCCCTTCTTAGTTAAGGAATGGGGATTGTTATGAACAATTCATCAGTTGTCTGCATTGCAGTTAGTCCATTCATTTGCACTTTGTATAAGCAACTCCTCCTTAAAAAGGGACTAAATTTTCATACAGCTTCATTTAATTGGGTTATATATAAAAAAAAATTTACTGTCATTTTTGTTGTACAATCCACGTCTGGCGTACAACATTATAAGCCAAGTATCTTTTATTAGGTTTTCCAGCAATTTTAGAAAAAAAAAAACATACACACATCTGAAGTTTGAAAAAAATGGAATGAGGAATGCTTTTCAATAATATTAGAAAATGTAATCGGATGTAACACAACATAACACTTACATATAACATTGGGATGAAAATTTACATTTAAAGAGGATAGTGCAAAGAAGCTGATCAAAGTATTGTGACAAGCATTTTAGGACTTATTTCTACATATATCAAAAAATTGTAGGATTATCTTTAATATTTGATTTAATGTATGTGTACTTGTACATTTGATTTATTACATTTTAATTGTTTTTCAGTGGAGGAAATGCACCATCCTATGTGTACAGACTTTTAAGTGAACTTTATCATCCAGATGATCATGATATACAATAAATAACTTCTATAATAATATTTTATCCTTGATGTATGGAGGAAGAGCAATATTGTTATTTATTGCATTTTAATTCTTTGCCTATATTATTGTTCAGTTGACAGTCTTTTCGTAGTGGCAGCTCTATACACAAATCATTTAAAAATATAAATGGAAAAACTCCACCAGTGTTAAAAGTACTAGCATGGAGCAAGTATGAAAGTTATGGCAAAAGAAGTTCTTTTTTCTTGCTCCTAAGGAAAGAAGTAAAGTTAAGACACTTTTCAATTTTATACAAATGTATTAGATCTACAGTATAGTAATATGCAAAAGGAAGATAATTTAGTTTTACAATTAATCATTCTCAGACAAAAACATAAGTTGGAATAAAAATTGATAAAGGTTTGATGTCCAACAGCAAATATTTCTGCATAGATCCAACTAACAGCTGAGATTGTAGACTTGAGAGCATACTCTGAAATTGACACTACAGAGTTATACTTATCACCGGGTTTTTACTTACATGAGCAACACGAGGGGTGCCAGATGTGGAGCAGCATCTGCTAACCCTTCTGGAGCACCACAGTTTTTGGTATAAACATAAGCATAAGATAGATTATCTCAAATTATGGTACAGGTTCATGACTAAATAAAAAAATATACTTCCCACAATTCTGCGTTTTTCAACACATTGTTTGTTAAAATCCAACCATAAATACCTTCAAAATAATTTATTGAAAAACGTAGTTTTATATATAAAATATACATCAAACAATTGTACGTGAACTTTAACTTTTACCATGCACTGTACACTGATCTATACAAAAACTATATTAATAAATTTACAGAGACATATACATTAAAAAAAAATTTAAACAAATTAACCGAATCTGGGAAGAAATTGGCTTGGAATGAATTGGACTTGGAACAAATTGACCAGCATTCGTACTATTGTTTGTCCTTTGGTCTTTTTCGTTCTTTACAGTGGCGATTTTAAAAAGCTTGATTTCTTGCCTTACAACATATCTGTTGTGTTTTAAGGACACGTTTTTTTAACAAACAATAGGCATTCCCATGGTTACTAACTGTTACTCTTCTTCCTTCTGCCTTGTTTCTTTATTCACATGAGGCATACCTCATACAGGAGCTTCTAAGGAAGAATGAAAAGAAGCTAGCATTATCCTTTACTTCATGTTCCACTCTACACATGATGTCCTCTCACTAAATAATTTAAAGTTTGGTGACTATGTTAAACGAATCTATCTCGTCGAATTTGAAATAAAAGGGTACAACAGATACAATTAAGTAAAGCTGCCTTATGCGAGCACCCTAGATTTATGTTCTACCCAATAAATGCTGAAATAGGTGCCATTGTTATTATCTAGCTGGCTATTATGTTATTTATAACTAATTGAACACTTTTTTCATACTTTTAATTCTGGAATACAAAAAATATGACCAGAAAAACCTTAAATGATCGTCGAACCACCCAACAGTTTTGAAGTTGCACATAGGAAGTAGTGCTCAAAAGAAATCCTTATGTAGTTTATCATCCCCTATGCTTTTGGCTAAGATGTTTGTCCGGTGTTATCGACCGTTTTGGCAAGATCCTGGATAGTGATTATTAGTTGAGATTCACAGGACCTGTGTTTACGGAAGCCATGCTGTGCGTCTGTTAGAATGGTGTGTTTTTCTAGGTGTTTCATAATGCTGCTCGTGATTATGCTCCAGCATCTTACAGGTGATGGATGTGAGTGAGACAGGTCTAATTTTCAGGGCGGTTCTTAGCACCTTTCTTAAATATAGGGACTACATCTGCCTTCTGCCATTCCTTTGGGATCGCTCCTTGGTTGATGGATGCCTGGAAAAGGACTGTGAAGACTGGCGCTATTTCAGAGCATATGAACTTCAACAGTCTAGCTGACAATCCATCTGGTCCAGTAGCTTTGTGGATTTTAAGGCCTTGAAGTAGTTTTAGTACACCTGGTTCTGTGATGTTTATGTTAAGCATATTCGGGAACGTCAGTTTACCCATTGATTTGATGTTGTCTTCTGGTTCATTGGAGTTACATACAGATGAAAATTGGTTGTTCAAGATGTTTGCCTTTGCTGTTTGTTCTGAGTATGTGAGGCCATCTGTTGCTTTAAGGGGCGCCACTCCACTGCTGTCCTTGTTTTTACTGTTGATAAAACTCCAGAAGCATTTTGGATTTGCAGTGCAATCTGGTGAGATTATATTGGTGATATAATCATTGTAGGCCTTTTTGCATGCTGTTTTTGTTGCAGATATAAGTTGTTGGTATTTTTTCTTGTCCCTTGATCTGTTTGAGGATCTGACCCTGTTAAAGCTTCTTTTCTTTCGCCGTGATAGTGCTTTTATCTCTTTTGTGATCCAGGGTTGACTAAAGCGGCTGGTCATCTTTGATGGTACTGAAGAATCTAGGATGTTAGTTAGTGCGGTACTGATGTCTAGCCACATTTCTTCTATAGACGACTGAATGGTGTATTTGTCTAGGAATTGTTGTTGGAATTCTAGACATTCTTTTTTCAGTTTTTCATTGTCTGCTCTTTTCCATAGGTGTTTTTTTCCGTTTTACCGGTTTCCCTCGTTTTGCAGCTGCTGATGATTCAATTAAGACTGCGTCATGATCTGATATACCAGGTAAGGTAGAGCATCTATTGATCAGGCTTGGCTGGTTTGTAAGAAACACGTCCAGTGTGTTGACCAGACGGGTGGGAAAAGTGACTGTTTGCTCCATATGACAGTTGTGGATCATGTCTAGAAGTCTTTTGTTGATACCAGAGTTTACTTTATTTCCTTGAATAGATGTTGTGTTCCAGTTAATATCAGGATCCGATAATGAGTGACAAATTTTTGCCCAGATTTACATTGTAGTTTGGCAAATACTGCCTCATATGATGTTGTGGTTTCCATGGAGTCAGTGATGTAATCTTTCTTTATTGCCAAAATAACTCCTCCATTGCCATCTTTCCTGTCTTTGCGGATGTCATAGTTTGGTGGGAATATTTCAGCGCTGCATATTGACGACAGCAGCCATGTTTCCGTGCCCATGATAATACTTGGGTCTGATTGCTCGATTAGGTTCATTACAACTAATTTTTTGTTTTTGATGCTTTGAAAGTTGATTACTGTAACTTTCATTCGTGAGCTATGTGATTTATTTTGCTTTGTTGTTGGTTTAGATGGTGAAGAGCAGGATGTTGGTGGCCCTGGACTGTGTGTAAGTACATCGCTGATGTCACTGCTATCAGAGGTTGAAAAGCTGTTGCGTGTAGATATTATAGTGGAGTCAAATAAACTAGATGTAAAGTTTGGCATTCCGCAGTTAGTGCAGTGCCATGAGAGGGTGTTTAGAGACATGTATACAGGGGTGGACATATGCATACATTCGGTGTGAAACCACTTTTCACAGTCATCACAAGCTACTCCTCGTTGCTTCCATGTAACGGCTTTATAGCATATCTGACATGGGTATTTGGGGGTTCTCTGCCCTGGATTTTGTTCTGTGTCTGAATCATTGAGAATAAGTATCAATGAAATGTAAGTGAGGACATGTTTCCTACCTCGTCTTATATTTGAGTACATTCCCTTATCCCTCTTGTGGGCAAAGTGCATTACTATACTTCTCTGCAGTGAACTGTCTTTTGAGTATAATGGGAAGGTCTGAATAGTATCTTCTCTATCTGTATCTTCGTGATTTGTAAGAAATACAATGATGGAGATCCACATCAATATAAGATTCACACATCCGGAAGTCATTGTGATTGTTTATATTGACTACACAGAACCGGAAGTTGTTATCGTATGTGTAAGAAAGTTAATTTCCTTTGTTTACACATATTATTTCTGATTGATTCTGGAAATGATCACTTTCAATGATTTAATTCTTGGGATCAAGTTTCCTGTAAAGATCTTCAATCAAAATAGATGATTCGATGTTTTTTCTCTGCTCTGCAAATTCAGGTTTATCTACGTCACGCATGCGCACAAGATCTACTTAGAATCTCGGACTATGGAAGACAGTGAAACCGTAATCAAGATATTTTAACTCACTTATAATTTCAAATTAAATTGAGAATGGAAATGGGGAATGTGTCAAAGAGACAACAAGCCGACCAAAGAGCAGACAACAGCCGAATGCCACCAATGGGTCTTCAATGCAGCGAGAAACTCCCACACCCGGAGGGGTGCTTCAGCTGGCCCCTAAACAAAAATGTATACTAGTTCAGTGATAATGGACGTCATACTAAACTTAGAAATATACACAAGAAACTAAAATCAAAAATCACACAAGACTAACAAAGGCCAGAGACTCCTGACTTGGGACAGGCGCAAAAATGCGGCGGGGTTAAACATGTTTTTGTCGAGCCTGCGACTTTTGTCGCAGAAAGCTCGACATAGGGATAGTGATCCGGCGGCGGCGGCGTTAGCTAACTTCTTAAAAGCTTTATATTTTAGAAGGTGGAAGGTCTGGATGCTTCATACTTTGTATATGGATGCCTCATGTTACGAAGTTTCCGTCAGTCACATGTCCAATGTCCTTGACCTCATTTTCATGGTTCAGTGACTACTTGAAAAAAAAGTTAAGATTTTTTGTAATGTTAAATTCTATCTTATTATAAGTAATAGGATAACTATATTTGGTATGTGCGTACCTTGCAAGGTCCTCATGCCCGTCAGACAGTTTTCACTTGACCTCGACCTCATTTCATGGATCAGTGAACAAGGTTAAGTTTTGGTGGTCAAGTCCATATCTTAGATACTATAAGCAATAGGTCTAGTATATTGTATGGAAGGACTGTAAGGTGTACATGTCCAACTGGCAGGTGTCATCTGACCTTGACCTCATTTTCATGGTTCAGTGGTTATAGTTAAGTTTTTGTGTTTTAGTCTGTTTTTCTTATACTGTATGCCATAGGTCTACTATATTTGGTGTATGGAATGATTGTAAGGTGTACATGTCTAGCGGGCAGGTGTCATCTGACCTTGACCTCATTTTCATGGTTCAGTGGTCAAAGTTAAGTTTTTGAGTTTTGGTCTTTTTTTCTAATACTATATGCAATAGTTCAACTATATTTGGTATGTGCGTACCTTGCAAGGTCCTCATGCCCGTCACACAGTTTTCACTTGACCTCGACCTCATTTCATGGATCAATGAACAAGGTTAAGTTTTGGTGGTCAAGTCCATATCTCAGATACTATAAGCAATAGGTCTAGTATATTCGGTGTATGGAAGGACTGTAAGGTGTACATGTCCAACTGGCAGGTGTCATCTGACCTTGACCTCATTTTCATGGTTCAGTGGTTATAGTTAAGTTTTTGTGTTTTGGTCTGTTTTTCTTATACTGTATGCCATAGGTCTACTATATTTGGTGTATGGAAT